CATATTCTCCGTGTTACTGGACACACTGAGTGCTGATTTGTACCCCATAAACCTCGATGGCAGACACCTCAAGAATTTCTTCACCAGCTTCTTGTCCTTGTATTTCTTGCCTAACACCGCAGCTTATTGTGCCAGAGCACTCAGTTTCGAACTGAATTCAGAGATGGTTTCATCCTCCTCCATCTTTAGATTCTCAAAGCGAGAAGCAAGCATGTCCTTTCTGGAGTTTTGAACCTTTGTTGTTCCTTCGTACTGCATCTGAAGTATGTCCCATGCTTCTTTGGCAGTCTCAACACCTTGAATCAGCTCAAAAGTCTTCCTTGAAATGTTGGTGTGAATGGTAGTCAACGCCCTTGAATTGTACTTTGCTCTTTTTGACTCTTCTTCAGTCCAACTTTCTTCTGGTTTTGGATGAAAGACTCCGTTGGCATCAGCTACCAGTGGTTCTTCCCATTTATCAGTTACTGCCTTCCATGCCAATGGATCGATCCCTTTGATCATGGATCTGATCCTAGCTTTCCAAAACCCGTAGTTCCCATCATCCAGGATGATCCTGGAGTTGTTCACCATTTCCTTATAGCTCTCCATTTTCTCCGCAGGATCTCACCTGTTTGTAATACACACAGATGACCGCTCTGATACCAAATGAAAATGTAAGAGTAGTAATACGGGAACTAACACAGAACACAACACAAAGATTTTTCTCTTCAAAGATACTTCACTAGTAAATCTGTTTGTAACTTACAAGTATACAGAACCCGATTTAGAGCAAACTCAAGACACGCCTTGATTTGCTACACTAGTCTCACTTGTTCTTGAATCGATACGTGATTCAAGAACCTCTCACCCAAATCCCTTAGCACACTAGCTCACAAAATCTCTCACAGATTTTCGCTCACCTTTTGCTAAGTATTCTCTCAGTTGTGTTAAAACCCTACCTAGCTCTAACACGCCTATTTATACTCAATAGGACTTGCGGCTGATCCTCGCCTAGATTCTCTTACCAAATCTTCATGAGAATCTTCACCTTCCTTATCTTCTCCTAAGATAGAGGAAACTCGATATTGTCTTCATAGATCCTCCAAGATACTCCAAGCTTCCTATCCACGTCAGCTTCTCGTCTCTTGAAGTGTCCAGCACGTCCTGCAGCTCCAGCTCAGCTTCCAGCTCACCTCCACGTGTGTAGATTGCTACGCAAGTCTTCCCGTGTCAGTTCCAGAGCTAGTCGGACTGCTACACGCGCTGCTCCAGCCTTGTTTGCATCTTCAAGTGAATGGTAACGGCGTTTTTTATAAAGGCGGGACGGTATTCGTAAATCCGCTTTTATGTTACTAATCATCAAAAATTATTGCAACTGCGGTGCGTTTTTCTATTTTTAATAAAAAAATGAATAATAGAAGCGCAGTTTTAGTTTTGTAAAGAAAAAGTGAAATCTGCATGGAATAGTAATAACGCTAGGTTCTTAATGCGGTTTCTGTTTTCAAGTGTGGTTTTATGTGTTATAACTGAAATTTTTTATAAAGATTAATATACTAAGCTATATTTATAAAAATTATGTTAAAGTTTTATAAATAACAAAAGTTTTTAAAAATTATGGAGAAAATTCAATAAGTTTTTTTTTTAAAAAATATATATTTAAACCATTTTTAATTTATAATTTTACTAATACTTTTAATATATTTGTTTTTGAAATATCTATCATATTGCATATATGTTATTTTTTCACTAATTAAGTAGTATTTTGCACTACTTATTTTGTATTAAACATATTTATCTCTCAAATAGTTTTTTTGTACGTATAGTGGTTGAATTTCTCCTGCATACAGTTGAATTTCTCCGCAGTTGAATTTCTCTTACACGTACCGCAGTTGAATTTCTCTTACACGTACCGCAGTTAAATTCTCCCACACGTACCGCAGTTAAACCGTCCCGCACTTTAAAACCGCTTTTCCCGCACAACCAAATACACTGTTACCATTGGACCCTACATATAGTACTATTCCGTGTTTAGAGAGGTATTTAAACTAGAAATACAATCCATGCATGTTTCTAATAAAACTCGACTAATTAGAATTGTTTTTGTGAGATATATGTTTATGTCGTAGAAGAACAAAACGACCCATATTCGGAATGCAAAGATGAACTAATATGTCTCGTGTTTTCAACGGGTCAAGATTTCTTCTTGTGTCCGAATCGCTGAGTTCCAGAATAATACAAAACAATTGACAAACCAAAAGCCAAAAAGAGATCTAACATTATGCAGGAAAAGATTTGGAAAAGTAAATACTTTTTGTCTTATTTCCTTTCATCAGCAAAAATAAATATTTGTTATCTAATACATATTTAATATTTTACATCACCGTTTATAAAAAAAAAGTCCTAGTATCCTTCCTTAAACATAACTAAATTCTAATTTCGTACGTCTGCACGGAAATTTTTTATTGTTTATTTATAATATAATTTTTTAAGAGAATTTTGTTTTTGTTATTTTTTTTAATTCAATAATTTTGTTATCATGTTTTAACTTTGAATAGTATAGATTTATATATTAGTAGAATAAGAATATGAATTAATTAAGTATATATTGATCTATAATATTAATTATGAACTTTGTTATTATGTAAATTTAGATTTACACGTAAACAATTTATACATCTATGAATTAGCTAACCCGTCCGTTTAGTTATTTAAAATCATTTTTAATATCTTACATGTTTTGACAAACTTATCCGTATAAGATTGTTATTATAAATGTATAATTTTAATTTGCTCTATCATATTATTGTAAAATATAAATATTTACTAACATTAAATATTTGATGTTTTAGACGGATTGATTATGATAAACAATACAATAAGATATTTGTTTATCATTTGTGCTATTATAAAAATATTATTTAAATTCAAAACTTTAAATTAAATCTAACTTGTATTTAAAGAATTTTAAAGTAATTAAGATTAAAATCTAATTTTGTAATAAAAATTATTTTTTATTTATTTTAATTTGAAATTAATTTGAATCTAAATTTTCGTAATTAAATTTATTAATAAAAAATTTGAATAATTTAAATTTAAATTAAATATAACTTATATTTAAAGAAATCTAACAATAACTAAATTAATAACCAATTTTTGAAATTAATTATAATATAAAAAAAATACTATAAAAAAAGTTTAGATGTGTTTGGAAACAAACACTAAAAGTGCTTCTGTTTTAATAGAATAGATGTTCTACCGATTTTGATTTTTTGAAAACTACTGAAGGTAGTTTTGATTGTTAATTATTTTCTACTATTATAAGAAATAGATATAACAATAAGCATGTCCAATATTAAACTGCAACATACAAAACCAGGTGATTCCATCTACAATATTGATTTTATCAAAAATTCATTCGTATTAATTATTGGAATTAACCAATTATTGAAATAAACCCATTGCATGATACATACATCCTACTTAGTGGCAGACATAAACCCGCAAAAGTGTAAAGACAATTTCACGGAGAAAAGACAAAGCCACAAAGGTGTATATACAAAGCCACAAAGAGGTATATATACAAGCTCCAAATAATACATACAAACCCCTCCAACATAGTAAGTAATACACAAGGAATAAACCCAAAATAGAATGGAAACCCCTCCAACATAGTGAAGTAAAGATCATATCGATGGACGGGAAACATTAAAGCAAAATCCCACGATAGTATTATAAATTGCCGTAGGAAAACACTCGTAGGAGAGCATCCTGATGGATTTCAATCCACAATATATTGGAACTTTCTATTACCATAAAAATGATTTAATTCATATATAGAGAATATGTGCCATTCCACTTTTTGGTATTTGAATTTAAAATACAAATTCATTATTCTTACAAACTTAATACTCTGAATTCGACTTCACTACTATAATTCGTTTTCTTTGGTTTTTTTTTTTTCATTTGTTATCAACCATTGAAATACTGATCCTACCACATCTCCCCAAGAATCGTGATAGATTGTAAACCCATTAAAAACTGAGAGGGATTTTGGATGGCCTGTTACCATATCATGATAGTATTGGGTCAATTCAGGTCCCATACTCTAAGCCCAGCCCATAAAAGTTGGTGCAATTAGCCATTAGGAAATTATGAAAGCCGAAAATCTAAACAGTACATAAATTTGTTGTGTATGATAAGATACCGCTGCAGTTAATTAACCAATTCGAAATATTTTACAAGGAAATCTTCTCCAAGGACCCACGAAAATAAAGATATAAACCAGAGTAGGGCGGCCATCCACTTGGTTTGAAAGAGACTGAAGTGGAATCCAACCATATGATAGTGCACATAAAGATCCAAAAATAATGTAAAAAGCTCCTTTTCCAAATTATGATAATCAAATACTATTTACTAAATAATTTCTCCAACACTTTATAACCATTCTAAAAAGTAATTATTATTGCATGTGCATGAATATACGAAAAAGAACATACTGTTTTCCCCACATGACACATTACACATTGTCATTCCCTTACATTATTCTGCCCTTCCATAGAGGCATAGACGATAATCGTAAGTTATTTGTTTTTGTTACACAAAACTGAGTAAAGAAAAAAAACTTGTGATCTCCCCACACCCAAAGTGAAGCTCGGACTATAATTTCGATGATCGTGTCATCGTGTGAATACATGGAAACGCTATTAAAGAGTTATTGATTTAGTTGTCACTAAATTCTAAAAGAAAGTGGCCACCGTCAGGACTCAGGACACTGTCACAGTGTCACTCCAGCCGAGAGCTTAAGCTCGTGTGTCCCATATGCGATTTTAGAAAGAAAAATGATATGAAAAACAAATACAAAAGTATTGGTTGGAGAAGGATACTAAAATTTAATAGAGTGGGACCAAAGAAAGCATCATTATTAAACGAGAAGAAAAAGACAGGATTGTTAGAGAAATGTCAAAAAAGCACAGTAACAAGTAACCAAAAAGCCCAATCAATTCTCTGCTTTCATTAAAGCGTAGTTCTTAGGTAAGGTGTGTATAATGTGTGAGTGAGATTGTGAGAGAGAAGAGAAAGATAAGTGAGAGAGAGAGAGAGAGATAGAGGGAGAGAGAGAGATAGAGAGAGAGAGAGATAGACATAGAGAAACAGAGAGAGATGAAGTTCTTGTTCCAGTGTCCATGTTGCTCTTGCTTCTGCTTCATGAAACCAAAGCAGGGCAAACCAAAAGCTGTAGACTCAAAACCAAAGGAAGAGAAGAAGAAAGAGGTGAAGAAAGAGGAAAAGAAAGTAGAAGAGAAGAAAGAAGAAAAGAAAGAAGAGAAGAAAGAAACCAAAGCCGAGAAGGCCGAGTGAAAGCTCTACTTTAAGAAAATTTAATTAGCTATCCCAATTTTATTTTAATTTCTAAGATTAAAATATGATGATTATGAAAGCTTAAATAACTTGTAATTTATTATGGTTTAATAGCCTTTTTCTCCAATATGTTTTAATCTCTTATCAATTATATCAATGTTGCCTGTGTTGAATTTACTCTGCTGAAATAAGGCTATAAAATTATCATTTCTACGTAAATGTCTTTTATTTTTTGTTTATCCTACCTTTTTCATATTTTAAAATCCCACTTATCAATTACATATTTGATGTGATTTATATTGTGCTTGTTATTCCCATTTTTGGTTTGAAATTTGATTCTTCTCAGGTAATTAGCAATAACTTTTAGATTTTGAAAAAAAGAAGTATAAAATCCAAATCAAAACTGAATCTAGTAGCTCTTTTTTGGTATAGGCAATAATTCATTTTGTATCTTGCTGATAGAAGTTACTGATGAGTAGTAGACAAGAATATCCATTGAAAAATAGTAATCTTTTTAGACGTCATGACTAAAGTTTTAGATTTCAAAGAAATTTTAAAAGTCTTACCTAATCTAAACACGGTAATTCAGAGTAAAAAATAACAATTATTGTTTTGGAAGTCGATACATGTATTTGTTTTCTTAGTCCGAATACAGAAGTTTCCATTTTGTATTAGTATATAATCCTTATCACCCAAAATGATGGTCTTTCTAGTGTACAAATTGCTTAAATACCAAAAAAGGAAGAATCTAAGAGATAAATACTGTTGTTTTTAATCACTATAATGTGATTCTTCAACTGTATCCCTTTGGCCTCAATGATGTTCATCCCCAAATTTGTCAAGCTCGAACTCATGGTGCCTCCTTCACCAGTTTTGGTTTCATGAATGTTATATAACATATTCTTACAGTTGGTCTCATAGCTCTCTCTCTTAGTCACTCCATATATTGGATCGTGTTTGTATAAAATTAGGTTTTAAGCCCTTTAACAAAAAATAAAAAAAAAATATTAGGTTCAACGTAGTGTGTGTGCCAGACTTTACCAAAATTGCAACTCAAACGAAAGAAATTTATTTTTGTTTATTTACGTTTACTTTTCGTTTAAGAATGTTGTTTAGGGTGAATTGGTGGAGATTTGGAGTAGCCATATATCGGTTACCTTAACCAATTGGTAATGTATTACGTATATGGCACTAACACCAAGTTTGACCCAAAAAAATGGCACTGACACCAATGGAATCACTATATTAAATGAGTGATCATTTGATGAAGATACGAAAATAAACAGAATAAGATGATAGTATGTCATTTTTCGTCTGTGTTCTGGTTAAACATATAACCGACTTTATGTATATGAATTACATGATCATCTAGTTAACTAATTTTTTTTTTTTAATAAATATTTCTCCCAATCGTTCTTTGTACACAAAAGAATAGAGAAACAAAATTTGGTAGGTTTCAGAGCATTTTCGAGTCCCCAATTGCCTCATGTCATATCTTCATCATTTCAGAGCATTTTTGAGTTGGGCCTTTCCAGTCCAACTCAGCTTGGGCTTCCAATGAACCCTGCCTGAAAAAGCATCTTTAGTCCTTATTAATGTAGACACATAAAAATGACTCATGTTTCCAAGATAATTAGTAGTAAATGTTGTGGGAATAGAGTCAGTAAATTCAACCACTGACTCATATGAAACCTAGTCACTAATTAGTAAATACGGAAGAAAACAACTCATTTTCTCAAAATTTTGTTGCCACTAAATTAAATTCTTCGATCAAAATTCAAAAGTAATAGTTAAGTTGGAAGAAAAATGCACAATTCAATCAGTCTTTTTATGGTAAGTGAGTTAAATACGTGAGTCAATTCTCACACGTCAAAACATAAATGCCTTTGATTTTCTTCCAACAACGTTCAAAATCCTTATTACCTTTCCAAAAAAAACATTCCCATAATTAACAAAAAGAAAGAAATTAAGTACTCTCACAGCCAATCTTCGTTTTGGATTTCTATAACATTCAGAGAATTTCGTCGCTTCTCCTTGATTCCATAGTTTCTATATATTCATTACATAGCTTTACTCATTTCCCCACTAAACCACAAACACACAAAACCCTAATCCTCAGATCTACGATCTCGTAACCATGGTGGCGATCACGAAAAGTCTCTGTTTTTCTTTCATCATCCTCGCTTCCTTTGCAACCCTCTTCTCCGTCGCTGATGCATGGTATTTTAACGTCGGAGGTAACGGCGTTTGGGCCGTAAATCCACGGTTGAGTTACAATACTTGGGCAGAAAAAAACCGTTTCCAAGTCAATGACACTCTCTGTAAGCTTCTTTCTTTTTGTTGTGGGGTTTTAAATTTTGAGTTTTTATCGATGGGTTTGAGACAAAAATGAAAAAGCTTGAATCTTTATGCAGATTTCAAGTTTGAGAAGGAATCGGACTCGGTGCAAGAAGTAATGGATGTTGATTACAACGGCTGCAACGTTGGGAATCCTCTCCAGAACTTTGTCAATGGAGATGCTTTGGTTACTCTTAATCGAACTGGGCCGTTTTATTTCATCAGTGGTAATCAAGATCACTGTTTGAAAGGTCAGAAGCTGGTCGTCGTTGTCCTCTCCGTCAGAAATCACCAGACGGTACCCATTTCTCCGGCGAAAGCTCCAATGTCTCATTCCCCTGTTTCTCCAGCGAAAGCTCCTAAATCTCATTCCCCTGTTTCTCCAGCGAAAGCTCCGAAATCTCATTCCCCTGTTTCTCCGATTTCTCCGGCGAAAGCTCCGACAACGGACCAACCTCCGAAGTCTACTTCCCCGGTTTCTCCAATTTCTCCGGCGAAAGCTCCGTCGACGGCTAAACCTCCAAAATCTCATTCCCCTGCTTCTCCAGCGAAAGCTCCGTCTACGGCCAAACCTCCAAAGTCTCATTCTCCTGTTTCTCCAATTTCTCCGGCGATAGCTCCGTTAACGGCTCAATCTCCGAAGTCCCCTTCCCCTGTTTCTCCGGTGAATCCCCCGTCAAAATCGCAGCCACCGAAATCCTCTGTTTCTCACGCACCTGCTGTGTCTCCGTCCCATGCACCAAAATCTCCATCGCCGTCAACTTCTTCCCCCGTAAACTCTCCAACGTCTTCGCCATCGCCTGACGAGTCACCGGATTTTCCGACGCCTGAGCAGAGTTCACCATCTCCTTCTGAATCAACTCCGTCTTCTGCTAACGTCACGGCGCCGGCGCCAAGTCCCAAAAATGCAGCAGTTGTGGCCGTTGCTTCGGTTATGACTTCAGTATTAAGTGTCGTCTTCACCTTTTTAATGTTCGGTTAATCCTAAACCAATTGGTTTTTCGTGTTTGATTTACATTCTCTTTATTCTGTTGTTGATGAGTATTATTCGAGTTGCTACTCTATCTGTTTATTTTTTATTGTTCTAAGTGTTTTAAATTTGCATTAATGGACTATATTTATTTATGTTTTTTTGGATGTAATTATATTTATTTATGATTTCTTAAGCTTTTTTGGTTTAAAAAAAATGTTTTACGGTCCAAAATTAGAAAATCCAATTCTTATTTGGGGCCTGAAGAGAAAGACAGGTGTCTGCTGCAGATTGGGTTAAAAAATATGGACTGATTCTTTTCTCTACATTGATGTTTCTTCTCTCTCCATTGGTATTTAATACTCCTTCTGGTTTTAATTAATTGTCGTTTTAGAAGGATACACACAAATAAAGAAAATATTTAATTTGTTAGTTTTCCAAAACAAAAACACCATTACCTATATACTTAATCACAATTCAACCAATAATATAATATTTTACAGAATACAGATAGTTATAAAACATCAAAAATCATCAAATTTTGAATTAAAAATTGAAAACGTCAATTAATTTGAAAAAAAACAAAAATTTAAAACGACGACAACTAATGAAAACCAGAGAGAGTTTTTTTTTCTTAAAAATCTCTATCAAAATTTTACCAATGCACCATTATAAATAATGAGTTTTTAATGTTGATTTTTATTCTATAATTAATAATAAAAAATACATAAGAACTCTTAATGGGATTTTAGGGATAATGATGGTCTAAAGCATTTATATCATTCGACTGTTACATGACTTGAAGTTATCGCAGCTATAAACCCGAATCCATTATTTTGGATTTTTTTTATATTAATTATTTTACTTGTTCAAATATTTTTCATCAGATGCTTATTAAAACTGCACCTAGCAAGGAGCTACCTAACCTGCTTAATTGGCTATTTAATATGTTTTTTAAAATCTATTTGAATATATAAGTGCAAAACTTTACTCGTTGTACATAAGTTATAGAAGGGCTACGAAAAATAGGTTTTTATAACACTGAGATATAGATTTTTAGCGTATATATACTAAACGATATTTTGAAACATTGGTATATATGGCTGGTCATTTGTAGAAAGTTAATCTTTTTATACAGCTCATAATTTTAAATGAAAAAAAAAAAAACAATAAGTACTCATTCAAATATCTCAAGTTTTAATTGGTCGAGTCAAGATGACAGTTTTTCGATAATAGTATATATGTTACTATGATAGTATGATACATTCAATCTAAAACCCATGTGTCGTTTGGAAAACGTCTGTAATTAACTAATTATCTTCTAAGTATGGTGACTTATTACCAATCTTTATTACTTTACCAAAAAAACATTCTCATAATTAAAAAAAAGAAAGAAATAATTCAGTACTCTCTCACAAGTCACAACCAATCTTCGTTTACCATTTATATAATATTCAGCGTATTTCGTCGCTTCTCCTTAATTCTATAGTTTCTATATATTCGTTACATAGCTTTACTCATTTCCCCACAAAACCACAAACACTCAAAACCCCTAATTATCAAATCTACGATCTCGAAACCATGGTGTCGATCACGCAAAGTCTCTGTTTTTCTTTCATCATCCTCTCTTCCTTTGCAACCCTCTTCTCCGTCACTGATGCACGGAGGTTTTACGTCGGAGATAACGGCGTTTGGGCCGTACATCCGCATGAGAGTTACAATACTTGGGCTGAAAGAAACCGTTTCCAAGTCAACGACACTCTCTGTAAGTTTCTTTCTTTTTGTTGTTTGGTTTTATATTTTGAGTTTTTAACGATGGGGTTTGGGACAAAAATGAAAAAGCTTGAATCTTTATGAAAAAGCTTGAATCTTTATGCAGATTTCAAGTTTACGAAAGGATCAGACTCGGTGCAACGAGTGATGGATGTTGATTACCACGCCTGCAACGTTGGGAATCCTCTCCAGAACTTTGTCAATGGAGAAGCTGAGATTGCTCTTAATCGATCTGGTCCGTTTTTTTTCATCAGTGGTAATCAAGATCACTGTTTGAAAGGTCTGAAGCTGATCGTCGTTGTCCTAGCCATTAGATATCCACCGGCGGCACCTATCTCTCCGGCGAAACCTCCAAAATCTCATTCCCCTGTTTCTCCGATTCCTCCGGCGAAAGCTCCGTCAACGGCTCAAACTCCAAAATCTCATTCCCCTGTTTCTCCGATTGCTCCGGCGAAAGCTCCAAAGTCTACTTCGCCTGTTTCTCCGGCGAATTCCCCTTCAAAATCTCAGCCACCGAAATCCTCTGTTTCTCCGTCCCATGCACCAAAATCTCCATCGCCGTCAACTTCTTCCCCAGCAAGCTCTCCAACGTCTTCTCCGTCGCCTGACGAGTCACCGGATTCTCAGGCGCCTGAGCAGAGTTCGCCTTTGTCGCCATCTCCTTCTGAATCAACCCCGTCTTCCGGTAACGTCACGTCGCCGCCGCCAGGTCCCAGAAATGCAGCAGGTGGTGTGGCCGTTACTTCGGTTATGAGTTCAGTATTAAGTGTGGTCTTTACCTTTTTAATGTTCGGTTAAGCCTAAACCAATTGGTTTTTTCGTGTTTGATTTACATTTTCTTTATCATGTTGCTGATGTGTTTTCTTCGAATCGCTACTCTTATCTGTTTATTTTTATTTTTTTGGTTCCGAGTGTCTTTATTTTGCATTAATGGACTAAATTTTTGTTTTTGTTTTTAATTTCACTGTGTTGTTCTAATAAGCATTATATCATTCGACTCTTTGATGATATAAACCCGAATCCTTTATTTTGGGAATAATTTTTTATATTGATGATTTTACTTGTTCAAAATTCTTTCATTAGATATTATTAATATGTCGGCTAAGTTTCGTTTCTAACTAAATCCGTCGTTGTTAGTGTAGGTGCAATGTCAAACTGTACCTTGCAACTAAATCCGCTTAATTGGCTGCTTAATATGTTTTCTTAATAATATCCGTTTGAAAATAAAAGTGCAAAACTTTACTCTTTTAGAAGGGCTACCAAAAATAGGTTCTTATAACACATTGAGATATAGAGATGAATATCAACAGTTCATATTAATTGATCATGTGTGCGTGTAATACCTATTATTATTAGTCGAGATATAGAGTTGAATTGATATTAGACAAGGGGTAAAGTGTTTTCGCACACATGATCGTTTTGAAGTCTAATATCAACTCATCTCTATGTTCTCAACTAAAAATAATAATTAAGTCGCACAAATGATCAGTTTTAGGCTTTTAGCGCATATATACATTAAATTATACAAATTTAGTTAATTACATATAAATTATAGTATTAAATATGTTGAATAAACGATAATTTAAATATTGATATTTATAGGAAGTTCAATTTGGTTATGCATCTCATAATTTTAAATGAAAAAACATTAAGTACTCATTCAAATATCTCAAATTTTAAATGGATTTCAGTCACTATTGCCTTAGTTGCGGGGTCAAGATGACAGTTTTTCGATAATAGTATATACTACGTATGTTACTATGATACATTCAATCTAAAACTCATGTGTCGTTTGGGAAACGTCCGTAATTAACTAATTATCTTCTAAGTATGGTGACTTGAGATATTTTGGGGATATCTCGAGAACTTTCTCAAAATATTTTTTATCCTTCTGTTGCGTTGCCTATACCTATTTTAATATCGTTATAAAACATTGAATAATTCCATACAGATTTCAAAATAGATGGCTCAATACCAAAATGTCCAAAACTTAAATTGTAACTTATCAAGTCAATTAATACTTATCGTTATAAGTTAGAACAATGATCAAAGCTTGTTGCCAAAAAAAAAATGGTCGAAGCTAACGAGAATTACAAAGTAACTGGCTCACAATGTAAATTCATGGGTTTATATGGATACAATAATGAAGAATAACTTTCAAGAAAATACAGATTTAAAGAACATAACATGTGGATGAACTTCGAACACTTTACACTTGAAGGATAATATAAGAGAAAATTTGTGCCCATACCAAAATTTAGTTCAACAATTGTAATTTTCGTAGTTGCTAACTATTATTCCAATTTAAAGCTTAATATTTACAAAATAATTTTCATTTCAACTGCAAATGTTTAAAAGTCAACGTCCTAATAAACGGTATATACGTATTTCCATTCATAGCATAAAATACAAAAATGAAAACCAGTAAAGTATACTAATTGTAGTGAAGGATTTGGAAGTCAATAATACATGTTTACACGCCTTATAAATCATATAATGCACATATTAAATTATACCTACCAAAGCTCCACGAAAGTGAAGGACAACATCCAACTTCCTTAAATAATAATTTTATATATGTCTTTAAAGTACATATATTTCTCAGAAAAAAATATACTATAAATTTATAAACTCATTTGAGAGAAAGCCCTCTCTTTTGCGATTCTTGAGTTATGATATTGGTTGCGAGTAGCGACAAAAAAAGAGAGTTATGATATTGATTAATAGAAGATAATCCTAACTTGTTTCCACACAAAGATAAGTCGATAATGATATTGTGGGCTCTGGTTCAATCTCACGAAAAGGGGCCGAAGACCCAAGATGGGTTCATTACAAAAGTCCAAGAAAGGCTGAGAAGAAGATAAGAGTCTCTGGCTTGACCAGAGGGTTCATATTCTTTTGAACAAAGATCAAGGAGGAGCCTATTCATCATCTCTCTTATATGACGGTATCATGTTGCAGAACGTACGAGCACAAGAAGGGAAGCACGCGAGAGGTTCACGTGGTCTTGCAGTGCTCCCAAAAAATAACGGAAGTTAAGCCGTAATTAAAGGAAGAATCCCGACAACTCTCTAGAAGTGCTGCACAAGTTGTCGGGTAGAGTTCCAAGACTCATCTCACTAATAAAAGAGATGAGGACCTCTGTTGCAAGGTTAACGAGTGAGAACAGAGTTTGTACGTTAGTGAGAGAGAGAGAAGTTGTAAGAACCCTAAAGGCTCAAGCGAGCAAGTAACTTAGTGGATTTCCGAGATATTCTCGGCGAGACGTAGGGCTACCGGTTTGGGGCCTGAACTCGTAAAATCTGGTGTGTTCTTTACATTTCTTGCTCAAACACAAACAAACAAGAGACGTAGAGAGTTGAGAGAGAGAACTTCTTATCTAAAGGTTTATTCAAACGATTTTTTAAGAAGCTCGAGAAAGTAGTCAACTTTAGAAGGTCTGATTCTCACAAATTGGTATCAGAGCCTCGGTTTTCGACCTTGGAGCAAGTAACGCTTCAGGAGATGTCGTCAAGCAAGACTGAGGTGGAAAAGTTTGATGGAGAAGGTGACTAAGTTCTCTGGAAGGAGAAACTACTAGCTCACCTGGATATACTTGGTCTAATGGAAGGTCTCGGGGAAGCAGAAGAAACAACAGGGACCGGTGAGAAAGCTACGGAAACGGAGGGTGAAGTAACGCCGGCTCCAACAACATCTGAACCTGAAGACAAGTCTCTCAAAGAGAAGAGAGGAAAGGCCAGATCCACCATCATACTAAGCGTAGGAAACAATGTTCTCAGGAAGATTATAAAAGAAAAGACAGCTGCAGGCATGTTGAAGGTTCTAGATCAATTGTTTATGGCAAAGTCTCTTCCAAACCGAATATATCTGAAGCAGAGACTATATGGGTACAAGATGAGTGAGAGTATGACGATGGAAGAAAATGTCAACGACTTCTTCAAATTGATCTCAGATTTGGAGAATGTCAAAGTGACAGTTCCTGATGAAGACCAAGCCATAGTCTTACTTATGTCACTGCCTAAACAGTTTGATCAACTCAAGGAGACACTAAAATACGGTAAGACTACTCTTCATCTGGAAGAAATCACTGGAGCCATCAGGTCAAAGATTCTGGAGTTAGGAGCAAACGGAAAGCTGTTGAAGAACAACTCAAACGGTTTGTTTGTTCAGAACAGAGGCAGATCAGAGAAGAGGGAAAAGGGGACTGAGAAAAACAAGCACAAAAGCAGATCGAAGTCCAAAGGAAGTGGAAAAACATGTTGGATTTGTGGAAAGGAGGGACATTTTAAGAAGCAATGCTACATATGGAAGGAAAGAAACAGATCAAGGGATTCTTCATCAGAAAGAGGAGAAGCCTCGACTGTAATCTCTCAAACCACAGATGCAGCTGCGTTGGTAGCCTCAGACGCCCTTCTTGGTTTTGCTGAAGTGTCTCTTGACACATGGATACTTGACACAGGCTGTTCCTTCCACATTACCTGCAGAAAGGAGTGGATTCTAGACTACAGGGAAACCAGACATGGGAAAGTCAGAATGGGGAATGATACCTACTCGGATGTTAAAGGTATTGGAAACATCAGGATTCTCAATGATGATGGAACTACCGTTCTGCTTACTCAAGTCAGATATGTACCGCAAATGTCAAAGAATTTGTTGTCCATGGGAACACTTGAAGACAAAGGATGCTGGTTCAAGTCAAGAGATGGTGTTTTGACGGTTATCAAAGATGACATAACTGTTTTAACAGGGAAGAAGCAGGACACATTATACTTCTTACAAGGAACCACATTGTCAGGAGAAGCCAATGTCACATAGAAGGTGAATGATGAAACTCGCTTATGGCACAGCAGGCTCGGGCACATCGGTTCAAAGGGGTTGGAGATGCTAGTCAGAAAGGGGTACTTAGACAAGAATAGAGTAAAGGAGATGCAGTTTTTTGAAGATTGTGTATATGGGAAGACTCACAAAGTCAGTTTTGGGTCTGCAAAGCATGTCACAAAGGACAAACTGGATTATGTGCACTCAGATCTTTGGGGCTCTCCATCAGTCCCATTGTCGTTAGGCAAGTGTCAATATTTCATCACCTTCATTGACGACTTTACCAGGAAGACGTGGATATACTTCATAAAGACTAAAGACGAAGCGTTCAGTAAGTTTATGGAGTGGAAGACGTTAACAGAAAATCAACAAGGCAAGAAGCTAAAGACCTTAAGAACCGATAATGGTCTTGAGTTCTGTAACCAAGATTTTGATACTTTCTGCAAACAGGAAGGAGTTGTGAGACACAGGACATGTGTCTACACACCTCAACAAAATGGGGTTGCAGAAAGAATGAATAGGACCATTATGAACAAGGTCAGATGCATGCTTAGTGAATCAGGTATGGGGAAACAGTTTTGGGTCAGATGCATGCTTAGAAGACTACCAGTTGGCCAGAGACAGATCACGTAGAAAGATCAAAGTTCCACATAGATTCTTGGAAGAAGTAAACTTGGTGGGAAACCAAGGAGGAGTTTTGTGGGCTCTGGTTCAATCTCACGAAAAGGGGCCGAAGGCCCAAGATGGGTTCATTACAAAAGTCCAAGAAAGGCTGAGAAGGAGATAAGAGTCTCTGGCTTGACCAGAGGGTTCATATTCTTTTGAACAAAGATCAAGGAGGAGCCTATTCATCATCTCTCTCATATGACGGCATCATGTTGCAGAACGTACGAGCACAAGAAGGGAAGCACGCGAGAGGTTCACGTGGTCTTGCAGTGCTCCCAAAAGATAACGGAAGTTAAGCCGTAATTGAAGGAAGAATCCCGACAACTCTCTAGAAGTGCTGCGCCAGTTGTCGGGTAGAGTTCCAAGACTCATCTCACTAATAAAAGAGATGAGGACCTCTGTTTCAAGGTTAACGAGTGAGAACAGAGTTTGTACGTTAGTGAGAGAGAGAAGTTGTAAGAACCCTAAAGGCTCAAGCTTGTAACTTAGTGGATTTCCGAGATATTCTCGGCGAGACGTAAGACTTCCGGTTTGGGGCCTGAACTCATAAAATCTGGTGTGTTCTTTACATTTTTTGCTCAAACACAAACAAACGAGAGACGTAGAGAGTTGAGAAAGAGAACTTCTTATCTAAAGGTTTATTCAAACGATTTTTTAAGAAGCTCGAGAAAGTAGTTAACTTTAGAAAGTCTGATTCTCACAGATATTCATACGCGTAACGAAACAAATACTTCGAGTAGACACGAGTTTGATACTATTATACTTCGAATAATCAGTCGATAATGATATTCATACGCGTAACGAAACAAATCCACTTGTCAAAAACTGGTTTATGTTCGAGTCAAAGTGATGTACATATAATTAAATTATTAAACACACGTAACTAGTGAAATGTGAAGGAGACACAAGGACTTGAATGAAAGTGATTGATTGGCAAATACGATAGTTAAGTTGAGAATGATCATCGTGACCTGGGAAAAGAACAGTGGTACCCGTGGCAATACGTAATGCATCGACTGAGTATCGTCAAAACTCGAAAACAAAACAATTTTGAACATAAATTAAAATAAAATTGACACTATCCGAGACCCAGCAAGTTAATGTCAAAAAACATATTTTCATTACAAACTCGATAGAAAAATTCAATGATCTAGATTCGTTCCGACACACTGTGGGACAGTGGGACGTTTAAAAGAACCACCACTTCCGTTGCCGGTTTCCCTGTGTCAGAAACATTCACAGAGAAATAACAAGTTAATATAGAAGGAGAAAAATCAAGATTAGTCACAAGAATGATGGAGTTAATATAAAACAGATGAGTTGATTGGAGGATGGTTATGGTAATGAACAATTTTCAGGCAAAGAGCTTCTTGTATGATCTAATTTGGAACCTTATTTAGTGTTATAGTAATTCAAATAGATACCTTTTGGTTTTTCTTCTGCGACTTTAACAAGATGGGTTGCGGAAGAACAGCCATGCTTGAGTCTTGGATGAACGGTCTCACTTTCTCCTCCAACATTTCCTCCACCTACACAAATCATAAGAGGGTAAAACGGTTTGTATTTGAAACTATGAATCGAGACGACGCCGAATTGTGTCAGAAATGTTCCCCATGATTAACCTTCTCTTGACGCCATTTAGCTTCCCATTGTGCATCCAAGATTTTGTCTGCGATCTCTCTTTGAGCATTGAGAAGAACTGTCTTCTCGTACAGTTTTGCCGGGTTCTTGAGATCGTCTTCACTCCAAGAGGAAGTATTCAATGGCAGATTCAGGTCCTGCACATATTCAACAGTTAGTTCTGAAATATGCCCTTTTGGTCTCAGGAAACACGAATAACAAAAACTATGAAGCCAAAACCAAAAAGAAGAAAGGGAGCTTACACCCCAATTCTGAGGACGAGGAGGTGGATTGAGCTTTGTGACTTCAGCCTCCAGTGCTTTCTTAGCCTTGTAAAAAGGAACATTTCTCACTATGACGGGGTCTTCTCGAGCACGGTCAGGATCAATGGAAATTAAGGCCTGTAGAACCATGAGAACTAAATGGTGATTGCTAAATCCTCTCAGTGAACATATTATGATCTAGTTCCCCAGATTTGTGTCAAAGAAGAGATCTTACATCCTGCAGATATTCCCAGCCAGGGTTTCGTTTAGCCACCAAGTCCCGGAGTTGATCATATCGCATGGATTCCTGATCGCAGAAGACATAAAATACTTAACTATCATTGAAGCTTAAAGCTGAACTATTCAACACATTCAGTAGCCCTGAGCACATCAGTATCCTGCAACAGTGCATATCCTAAAGCACAAACCTATCTAGATATCGAACAGATTCTATATTGGCGTAGCAATACCATCCTAAATGAGGATTAAGAAGATTCAACTTTCAGCTAAGAGTAGACTGCTTTTACAGTATGCTTGGATTAAGCCTCTAGAAGACCATAATCTTCAAATGATAGTAAACTCTAGAGTCATGCAGAAGGAGATCTATGTAGGCAAAAAGAGGTACTAACGTCGTATTGCAACCATATTTTCCTCTTGACATCTTCATCATAATCAAACCCACCCATAATCTGAGGCAAAGTGATCAACCAGAAATTTGCGATGCTGGGATCTTTCATGCTGTGAACAATGTGCTGAAATACAAAAATAAGACTCATAAGACGTGGTAATCATAGCAAGTTATTGGGTCTATAAATAGACTTTCTGATGCTAACCTCGTAGGGATAATCCATCTTCCTCAGCACATTGTAGGCTTTCCATGGAGGTTCCATGATCTGCAAAACGAATGTCAAATTCATCAGTTAGTTTAGGAGTTCAACAACTGATAGTTCTATGCAAAAGCAAGCTACCTCTCTATGTAAGTAGTAAATATATATCCCGCTGGGAATTTATGTAGATGTTAATCTGAGAAGAAGTAATAGCAGACGCAAAACATACATCATCAGCTGAGATCCTGACTTGCAGCTTGTTCTTGCATTCAGGACAGCTCATCACACCCTGCAAATATTAGTAAATTTTCCATCAAACTATTTAGCATAGATTGATGCAAAAACAGCCAATCTCGTTCACCCTTAACACACAGACAAGCACTTTATTACATGGAATATAGCAGTGTAAATACATGAACCAAGCATTGGCAGCAGGATAAAAAAGGTTACCGTTCCATCACAAGTTGGGCAGTCTTTTGATGGCAATGGTGCACTAAGGTTGATGGAGGAGGGAAGATGAACCAGCTCAGCTCGATTCTCAACTATGGCATCTGCAACACAATCTGCTGTTGGTTTCTCTCCACTACAAGAAGAGACAGGAAGGAGAAACCATTAAATTCTTTCATGTATGTTAGAATATCACCTGGATAGCTTAAAGTATTGTCAAATGAAATTGTCAACACTTCATTAACATACAGAGAACACAAAGAGATAATCAGAAAAACTAACTGTCGATTGATTAATTCTCAATTATGAACTTGGGTTAACAAGAGACAATCCCCACCTTCTCAAGTTGTAATCTTTGATCTGGTAATGAACATTCCCTGTTCCTTTGCACACGGTGCACCGCAATGCCTGCCACCCATTACAAGTTTTGCAATCCCTGACCAACATAAGAATGTGTTCATTTTCACTGGATGACTTCAAACATATGCACCAAATACTTAGTGAGGATGAGATCATGTGTGGCATTTAAAATAAGTTGTCTGCATAAAAAGCATCAATAACTTGGGCTGACTTCAAAATTCAAATCAAGAAAACTGACCTTTGGCATATGACTTTCTTCCCCAAATCCAATGCAATGTCATAAGTTCCAAGCGTAGCAACTGCCTGCAATCCACAAGAACTTAACTGATGAAAAAAGACACTCATTTCCAGTTTCCTAAAATGATCCTGATTTAACCAAAAACTTTGATTGAAAAAGTCGAACTTGACGAACTTAGACAGACATAATTCCATTTGGCATACTAGAGTTAAAATTCAAAACTTTTAGCAAACAAATGGAAACGAACTCCACGGAAACATCAGGTATGGAGAATCGAAAAGAAAAGAAGCTGGAAACGAACACGATTCTACGGCAAAATCAAAGCTCAAACCCGAACACTTTCTCTACAAAAGTAAATCAAAGACGACAGCTAAATGTCGAGACGATAAATTCAGAAGAAAGAAGCACTCACGAAAACAGAGAGATAAGATATCTTGGAGATGAATTCGGGGATGCCAAAACCACGAGGCGCAGAGCCAGCGATGTCGAAGGCGAGAGTGAAAGGAGACAAGACAAGCTTGACTGGGAAATCGAGAATTTCTATGACTTGTTGTCCATAACGAGTGGAGAATTGCTTGAATTGAGCATCAGCGAACTTTGTCAAGTTCTGCACCAAACGCCCTGGTCCTCTCGACATTGGAGAAAGAAGAAGATAAGAGCTTTCTCACACTCTCTGGTCTGGGTTTTACAAGTTTTTGTTCACAGATGGTTCAAGAGTGGGTTTTTACACTATTCTTATCCCGAAGTCGGATTAAACTTCTATTACCCACTACCAAACACAACCCTTTTCAACAGACTACGTGTCGTTTTTGAGTGAGAAAAACGACGCGGAGTTATAATTTAAGAAGGACAACAACAATAAAACCAGAGAACAAAGACTCTAGTTTTGCTGGTTAATTAAATCAATTCAAGTATTAAAACCAGAGAACAAAAACTCTAGTTTTGCTGGTTAATTAAATCAATTTAAGTATTATAAATTTATAATTTAGCAGCAAACCGTTCATTTCAATTAGATTGAGTTTTTTTTTTTATAAAGTAGAGAGATTCAATACTCAAATGCGTTCTTTATCAAAAAAAAAAAATACTCAAATGCGTTTACAAGATCATATTTAAGCAATTTATAGAGAAAGAAATCAAGATAGAAATATGATTATGATTCATTGAGGCAATACATCGAACACCTTAAACGCAAAAACCTAAAAGATCTAAGTCTTCAAGTGTGCATCATCTTCTTCAAGCTCTCTCGCCTCTGATCCTCCTCGCAAGCTGAATATCTTTTGGCATGATGGTAACTCTCTTAGCGTGAATCGCACACAGGTTAGTGTCCTCAAACAACCCAACGAGATAGGCTTCCGCCGCTTCCTGTAGAGCCGCGACGGCGCTGCTCTGGAAACGCAGATCCGTCTTGAAATCCTGAGCGATCTCGCGAACCAGACGCTGGAACGGAAGCTTGCGGATCAGAAGCTCGGTGCTTTTCTGGTACTTTCTGATCTCTCTGAGTGCGACTGTTCCGGGACGGAATCTGTGTGGCTTCTTCACTCCTCCGGTCGCCGGAGCTGATTTCCTCGCCGCCTTCGTCGCGAGCTGCTTCCTTGGTGCTTTTCCTCCGGTGGATTTCCTTGCCGTCTGCTTTGTACGAGCCATTTGGTTTAACGAAGGTATAGAGAAGTTTTTGAATTTTTGCAGTGAGGATTTGTGTAGCTTTGAGAATAAACGTTGAAGGTGATTTTTCTCGAAGAGTGGATTTGGTTTATATAACGAAGCGTTTGATGAAGAAAATAGAGATGAGAAAGAGAAATGTTTGTTTTTGGTTCGTTAGATCTTTCATCTTATCAACGGTTATGATTGTTTTAAGCTTAGTGATCCGCGTCATATGTAAATCAACCAATCGGGTTGCTTTTCTTTAGCGCTCAATTTGTTTTAGCTTTCTTTCGACTTTTCAATTTAAGCGCGTGTTTCGAACATTTTATGCTAGCTTTTCGAATCGGTGAGAAAGCCCAGCTTAGGCAGTTCTGGTCAGGCCCGTTAGTCTGTTTTCAATTTTAGTTTTTTTTTTCTTTAAAAAAATGCTTTGATTATTTCTTCTTTGAGTTTTGTTAAAAAGAACTTTGGTGCTTTCATTAGGTTTCATCTCAAAAGATTTGTGGGTCTCTTTTCCGTTTTATCAATGAAAACAAGTGAAATTAAAACCTTTTAAAAAATTGTAGAACTGCTCACTGTTTTCGTTTATACAGGTTTGGGACTTTTTAGTAATACAAAATAAAATTGTAGATTTTTGATCTAGTGAGAAAAATATCACGAAGTTTATATTAGTTTGACACGTTTTGATCGCCGTGATTGAAATGTACCGATTGAAGAATAATATATTGCTCAAAACGAGCTATATTTAAACCCATTTGTCGTTCACATTGACAATCGTGAACTACGTACGTGTATGTGCCTAGTAAATTGAACTTTGTTTTAAAATTTATAGGATTAGCAAATTATTGAATCCGAGAGCAAGAAAAATGCTTTGCCTACGAAATGCAATCTTGACGCAAGTTTGGGTCATGTTCCATTTATGAAAGTTATAGTCGAATGATTACGACTTTACGAGATATTTCAAAGTTGTAACATGTATTTTCCGGAAAAAATAAACCAATTCATGTAACTAAATTTAGTGAGTTTATGAATCTTGAAGGAATTTGTCCAAACATAGATTATATAAAAGTATATTTTTCCAAATTGAATGATCTAGGGTTTTTCAAATTATAAAAACTAAGAAAGCCAGAGAGAGAGAGAGAGCTAGGGTTTCCACCAATTGGCCTTGCTTAATTTTCAGATGGGCAGTCAATGGAAGTCATGCTAACAGACCGATTCCTTTTGACCGCCCGACTAATAGGAAACGGGTAAAACAGAGGGCCAAGGAGCTACTGTGGCATAAACTTGAAACGCCAGCCTCTTTATCCTCCGAATCTGAAACTGAAACTAAAATTCAGGTTGTTTTTGTTATTAAGTCTGAAACCTGTAATTGATTTTTTTCTGTCTAGGTCAGCTTGCTTATTCATTGATTCTCTTTGTAATAGGAAGAGTTTTCTGAGGCTACTACCACCTCCAAGCCTTCCTCAAGGTTTGAATGAATTGAATTAATTTTCCTCTTGGCTAATTTAGCAGTAGCTATGGTTGTTTTTGGTTGTGGTTGCTCATACATGTTAATATTTTCACTTGACTCAGCATGAAGCAAGATCTGCAAACAGCAGCTGCTCCTCCTCCTATCAAGTTGGAAGATGTGATTCCTCCACGAGCGTCTTTCAAAAACAAGAAGAAGAATCATATCAAGAAAAACAAGAACAAGAAGCTCGCTGTCATCAAGCGCAAAGCCAATTAAGGAGGCCTTTATCCTTTTTTTATTTTGTTTTTATTTTGTTTTTCCCAAGCTGTAGGTTCAAAAACTTGATCAGATGCCCTTCTGACTTTAAACCTTTTATGTTATGACAAATCGCATCTTAATTTGTAGTTGGATCTATCTTCTTAAGGTGGTCATTCACTCATATTATATTCTTATTCAATTAACTTGTTAATTGATACAGCATCTATCACTGTATATATTTTTGAGATCGATTCTTATTCATGCTTCTTGTAATGTAAATCATACTAGTACAAGTTATAATATTGAAAACAAAGAATGTTGTCTTGCAATAGTATTTTGTGTCTCTTCTTGTGTCTCTTCTTTTGTCTCTTCAACTAACTTGAAAACCAAAACAAGACATCCATTTTCTGGTTCAAAATAAATCAGTTTCAAGTGGATGTTTGTTTTGTATTGCAACTATTGAATCAAACACAAGAAAATAACGAATAACTCTTGTTTTATTGCCTTAGAAACTTCTCAAAACTAAAACATTCTCAATCTCTCTAATCTTAAGTGTTTACCACAAACTCGGTAACTCCTTATATAGAGAGATTATAATTCCTTTTAATTAGATAACTCCTAATATATTCTAATCCTAATCTCTTTAGAAACCATATTTCGGTAGGATTAGGATAACTTCTAACTCAAGCTATTTCAAACTTATCCTCAACAATCTCCCCCTTAGGTTTGAAGTACTTTTTTGACAAATCATGAACCCCGATGAAGTCTCTCATTTCCCTGAATTTGATTCTTCCAAGTGGTTTTGTCAGGATAGCAGCTTTCTGCTCGACGCCGGGAACGTGTTCGATCTCCACCTACTTATTCTCAACACATTCACAAATGAAGTGATACTTCCTATGTATATGCTTGCTGCGGCCGTGAAAGACATGGTTTCTGGTGAGTGCTATAGCGGACTTATTATCTATACAAACTGTTACTCTCTTAAGATCTTCTCCTGTAACTTCAGAGAGTAAATATTGTAACCATATAGCCTGCTTAGCTGCTTCAGTGGCCGCCATAAACTCTGTTTCACAAGATGACAATGCCACTGTATCCTGCTTCTGTGAACACCAGGTGATCGGACAACCATTGAGATAGAAGATATGGCCACTCGTACTCTTGCCATCATCTTCGTCCACATTGTGACTATTGTCACTGTAACCAACTAAACCCGAGCTGTTCCCTCTCTTAAACGTAAGGCTATATCCAGAAGTTCCTTGCAAATACCTCAGGACATGCTTTAAAGCCACACCATGACACTCCTTTGGATCATGCATATAACAGCTCAAAATTCCAACAGCAAACGAAAGATCAGGTCGGGTATGAATCAAGTATCTAAGACAGCCAATACTCCTTCTATACTCACTTTCATTGATGGACCGTTCTCCTAAAGCTTTAGAAAGTTTCGAACCTGAGTCCATTGGAACTTGCACGGCGTTGCACTCGCTTATAATTATGATTCTAATAAATCCCGTTTTTCTCGATTTGGATAACAGACTTGAGAATTTTATTGGCTTAACTTATGTACTTAGTACTTACGATCAATTAAATTATATTTCCCTTTGTTTGCTTGTTTGTCATTTACTAGGGCCTTATTTTTGACATCCATTGTAGGTTATGGTTGCTGAGATAGCTACAATATGACGAGGGTTATCCTTGAAAAATGTTGTCAGTATCAAAAACACAATTGAACCATTTGCAGAGCGAAATAGGCAGATTGTGCTTGGCATTGCTTAGCATATCTGTGTGGTACAAAGACTACCTTTTCTGATTATTGTTTCACTCCCATTAACTCCTATTATTGCCATGAGAGAGATAGGTTGGATATTTTTGTTTTTAGTGCTAGGGACTTGTGCTATCAATGACTATATATTGTATGTTCTCAATTGTGATAATATGTCCATGGTCACAAGATTCAAATGCATCTCTCAAAGTAGCAATTATAAACAAGTACAGAGCTTGCATGGTCATCACAGCTCTTGCGTCCTATACTTCATTGAAAAAGGTTCACATAGTTTATAAGAATCTGGAGGCTAGAGCAAGGAAGGAAGGATTATAAATGTTGCATGAAAAAGATCCAGAAGTGAAATCAAGTCCAAATTGTCTGCAATCAGAAAACAAATCACATAATGTAGCACTAGTAAAATAATACTACTTACTGACTTATGAAATCATGCTGATACATAGAGATGGAGTGACCACTTAATGATAAGAAATCTCTTATAATAATATGTAGTCTTGTATATTGTATAATACATAACATTTGTATCTAAGTCTTCTTCTTCTGACTCTGTTACATTGTCATGCAGTCTTGTATATTGTATAATACATAACTTTTGTATCTAATTCCAGATGAACCAATTGCTTGGTTAATAATATGATATATACATATTGGAAACTGGTAGAAAATAAAGAATATTTATCTTGTTGTTTTTATGCTTGGTAGAATAAATAAGTATACTATATATATATATATATTTCATCTAAATTCATCAAAAGTTATTTAAGTCTACTTTGGATAGGTAGAATAAAGAAGCATACTATACATCTTTTATCTCTACGTCTATCAAAAGTTTCTAACTTTATATTTTTAAGCCTAACTTTGAATAGATAGATAAAAAAAATACTATATATAAAGATGCATACTATAGTCGAAACAGACATTGCAAAAGAATTGAACTTTGAATAGACAGATAAAAAAATACGATATATAAAAAAACATATTATAGTCGAAATGGACGATGCAAGAAAATTAAAGAATGCAAAAATTAAAAAGACCATGGCGGATGAAGAGGTCATGACGGATAAAGAAGAGAAGATGATTGAACTGGTATATAAACTCATTTTATATCTAATATGGAATTAGAATTACAAAGTGTACAGACTTTGGGCACAATCCATATTTATATACATTTTTCTATGTTCTTTTTTATTGAACCCCACCTTAGGCCAATCGTGTGGAATGAGAGTTATGCGCCGTTGATTCATGTTTATCTGACTATTAACATTGATCTTTTTATAGAGGACATTGAGAAATGTATCTATCTCTAACAACTTTTATCATGCTAACTATTTCCTAAAATTCTGATTGCAATACTTCAATCTTTTTTCCAGAATTTCAATTATGCAAGCAAAAAGTTTATCACTATCTGGACGAAATCATGATCCCATACATCTCTAAAAAACTACATATGGTTAAGGCTATATTTTTTTTTGATGGCTTATACATGTATGCTCATTTTGCTAAAATCACCTCTTATATTTGTGTTTACACCTAAAGTTAACTTATAATTTCTTAGCAATGAGAATCTCCATGAACATGCTAAGAAGTTATACGATAAGTGCTACCTTGGTGATGCAGATTAAAAAAGCTTTGTGTTGTACGAGGAGATAAATATCTCTCATTTGATAATTTACTTTCTGTTTTTATTTTTTTCTTCATGTCATATTCAAATATAGAGATGATGTTTGATATAATATTAATGTTTAAAATCTTCTAGATATTTTCAATGACATTGAAAGATGGGTGAGACAATTTTTTGATCTCAATAGAAAAGGACCACCAAAAAATATTTCTAAATATGAAGCTTGTATATCATATGGGATAAAAATTGTTCCAATGGTCATATTCTTTTGTTTTATGGATGCTTCCTCTTCTATCTAACAACTTTGATTTGGAAAGGCCAAATGCCCAAAATAATAACTATTAAGGCAACATAATTAATCTATTATGATATCTTTTGTTTTTATCTCTTGATGGTTTTTTTGCAAAGGTTTAACTAGTTATCTAATCTTGTACTTATTTTCAGAAGGTAATGGATGAACAAATTTTTTTACAAGTCAAACTGAATTTTGGTAGATGGCGCTGCACATGAGTAGGCCGTTTCTTTATCATTTGCATGAATCATATTTCTCTTATTTTTCTTATTAAAAAAAAGAAATATAATAGATAATTCTTTTATTTTTTATTCTAAATTCTGCTTTGTATATAAACTTTAAACTTAAGCTCCATCACTAAAGTAAACATTCAAACATCAGAGGTTTTCCTTCGCCAGCAAATCCACTAAAAGTTTGCATTGCGAAAAATGAAATCAAAGGCTGACAAGAGTGGCCGAGTCTAAGAAGAGAAAAAACTGTTGTGATAACCGTTTGTATAACTTCTGTCATTGCCAAAACCGACGAAATATTCTTATTGTATCTTTAGTTGTTATTTCAGAGCTCATAATTGAACCATGTGTACACTTATGACAATGAGACGGCATAGGAATTGATTTGCTGCTCAACGCAAACAATCGAGCAATTTTTTCCAAAACCCTTTTGTAGTTGCCATTTCAGAAATCAGTTGACAATTTAGCCTTAAATGTGTCTATTTAGGACATATATAGATATCTCATGTTGGTTAAAATTATCAGCAACAAGAATTTTCTTCCTCCTCTTATGTATAACCTAAGAGCATGTTTATCGTGGTTACTAAAGAGTAATGCTTATGATTTTTCGGCCCAAAAAAAATTAAGAACCCAATAATAAAGAAGTATCGATGTTTGTTTAGGCACTTTAAGCACCGATGCTTGAAGGTGCTTCCTAGACATGTGGCGGCGTCTGATTGAAAGAGAGAAGTGAGTAAAATTTTTAATGTCTTTAATGTTTAGAAGAGAGAATCATCAATGTTTAATATATATATTTTTTTTCATTAAGTACCCATGTGAGATTTTTGCAATAAATTAATTTTTTAAAGTGCTTATTTAAAGTGTTTATTTTAAGGAAAATAATAAATTAATCATTAAGTACCCCATTAAAGGTGCTTGCAATAAACATACAGTAAAACCTCTATAAATTAATAATGTTGGGATCACGATATTTTATTAATTTATCGTGATATTAATTTATCTATAAATTAATAATTCACAGAAAAATTATTTTTCGTCTATTTTTTTTTTTAAAAAATTCTTTCATTGGTGTTATATTTAAGAATCTTAACTCATATGCTTATAAAATGATATGCACAAACTTAAATTATGATTAGTAATCATAGTAGTCGCAATAGAATAGTTATTTCTATTTGTTAATTATGGACTGAATTATCTATGTAAGAATATAATGTTTATTAGTACAAAATTTAGAAAACATTATGGTTATTATCCTTAACGTTGGTGCTGAAATTTAAATACCTAATATATTTCAAAACAGTTATGCGTAAAAAAATCAATTATCATATCTAAAGTTTTCACAAATTTTAAATGAAGATTAAAAAATAACATTATATAAAAGTTATTGATGTAAACAAGTAAAGAGATGATTTTCAATAAAGTTTCAAATTTAAATAAAAAATAACACATTAATCATATTTTAGTATATTATATCTTACCTATATATACATAAATTATATAATTATTAATTTCTGTTTATGTTGGGACCATATTTTTACAAAGGAATTTCAAAAAAATTATTATCTTATTATCTTATCGAATTTGATGAATTTTTACACTGGCCCGATTCAAGACTAAAGAAATTTATTAATTTATAGTAATTATTAATTTATCGAGTATTAATTTATAGAGGTTTTATTGTATTTGTGAAGTCAATGCAAATTTAATTTAAGCAGTTGAAAAATATAAGGAATTAAATAATCATTTTCGGTTTAAGAGTGGTTTTACATAATTCTTATCTCGAACGTGGAATAGACCGGAAATTGAAATTGTATAAGAAAAAGTGGATTAGCAAATTACTGAATTTGGGAGCAAGAAAAATGCTGTGCCTAAAAATGCAAACTTCAGGCAAGTTTGGACCTTTTAAAAAAGAAATCATAAATCAACTAAATTTAAGGGGAAGAGAAAAAGGAATCATATTCTCTACGAAAGCAGCCAAGAGAATGCTCGAGAGATAAATCCCCCTGTAAAGCTCCAATCTTTCAATCTCTCCTCGCTAACTAATCTCTGCATCGCTCTGAGAATCAACGGCGGCGGCGATGATCGGGTTTCCGCAGGCGTATCTGGAGGGTAAAGAGGTGAAGGAGACGAGTTCGCTGGTGACTGAGCTCTGCCGTCATTTCTACACACAAGGTTGGGTATCTGGAACAGGTGGTAGCATAACGATCAAGGTTCACGATGCTTCAATCCCTAAACCGGAGCAACTCATCGTCATGTCTCCTTCTGGTTCGAATCTCTTTCTCTCGATTTTTTTTTCTTGGCGTTTGAGCAGTGGGGTTTCTCGTAAGAACTTGTGTGTGTGCCTTTGCTCCAGTGAGCTTTGCTATCTTCCGTGCTCAATTTGAGGCTCTAGTTCCGAATTTTCCGTCTTGTTTTGAATCCAAAAACCATTTGGACAATTGTTTGTCTTTCAATGTTTAGTGATGTTCTCTTTGTATATTTGATTGGCGATTCTAAAAGGGAATATCTTGCGATGCTGATTCCGTTTGTTTATTGAGTTTTTTTTTTTTTTTTTAATTTGACTTGTGTTGTTGAAGGTGTTCAAAAGGAGAGGATGCAACCGGAGGACATGTACATCTTATCTGCAAATGGATCCATCATATCTTCACCATCTCCAAAGCCATACCCTAACAAGCCTCCTAAATGTACTGATTGTGCTCCTCTTTTCATGAAGGTTTGGTTTTTTTTTTGTCACCTTCTAAGCTTGTGAAACCCTTCTAAGCTTGTGAAACCTGATTCTGATTCTCTACTTGGGATTTCTGTGTAACTAATTACCTTGATTAACTTGGACTACTTTGATACTGGTGAATAATAATGGATATTTGTGTTTTATCGTTTTGTAGTTTCTCTGCTGGATGTGCATTTTGTGTTTTCCTCAAATTGTTTTAGCAATTCTTGGATTTTCATCAAAGTGTTGAGCAGTACTTACAGTTTTCAAGTTAAACTGTTTCCTGTTATGAAGGATTTCTTAGCGCATATGGTCATGACCCAAATGGGTTCAGAGCTCGTCGCTCTTTTCTAGTGGTATTTTTGCTAATGATTGTTGGATTGCAATCCCAAAAAAAGTGCAGAACAGGCGGCTTTCTTTGGGGAAGCGCTTGCGAAAACTCGGTTACAAGGTAAAACTTGTCTAATCTGAGCAATAATCCAACTCGTTGGATGTGTCAGTCAGTGGGTTCCTTCGACCCATAGAACCTCCACTTTGTAGAGTTCTATTGATGTTTACACAGACAATCTTGACAATGAAGGTTTGGTTGTAAAGTTCTTTCTACTTATATAGTTTATATCTTTTTTTTCTTCCCTACCAAATTGCCTTGCTCTGCTTGTATGGTTGACATTATCAAGTACCAGCAAGATAGTTGACATTATCAAAAAGTTTCAGAGCATTGACTTTATTGCAGTTTCTTCCGCTTGGTGATGAACTCTTATGAGGTACTGTTTAACGTTGTGGTGCAGGCATATGAGATGCGAAATGCCGGAGCTGTTATTCACAGTCATGGCATGGAATCTTGTCTTGTGACAATGCTTAATCCACAAGCCAAAGAATTTCGTGTAAGCCTGAATGTTAGACAACTCCAAGTTCCTACATACATGTTAAAACTTGGATCTTAATGTTGACAAATTTGCAGATAACTCACATGGAGATGATAAAAGGGATTCAAGGTCACGGATACTATGACGAGCTTGTTGTCCCAATCATAGAGAACACAGCTTATGAGAATGAACTAACAGATTCACTTACCAAAGCTGTATGTCTATTTACACTGAGGAAGATTGAATTGATCAAAGGAATGATTTTAATTAGTTTTGACATATTTGACTGTCATTTTCAGATAAAAGCCTATCCAAAAGCAACAGCAGTGTTGGTACGCAATCACGGAGTTTACATTTGGGGGGATTCTTGGATCCATGCTAAGACTCAGGTTTGTGCAAGCTACTTCAATTCTTGGTTGAAAGTTGAGAAACCAACAATAAGTTCTATACCGTTTTGTAATGCTATGTTTGCCTCTATATATAAACTTTTATTCTCAAATCCAGGCTGAATGTTACCATTATCTGTTCGATGCTGCCATCAAGCTTCATCAACTGGGTCTGGATTCTGCTACTCCAGACCACGGGCCTATCCAAAGAGCCATCCATTCAAAGAATCAATTTTCCACTGTGAAATCCGGAGTCAAGGATTCACAAAACCAAACAGAACCACCTCGGGTATAAAATCAATGATCTCTCCCTCTCGTGTTATTATCTCAAAAAGTTTAATTTTGAATATACTCTGTTTGGTTGCACAGCGTTGCATTGTCCTCGACATTGAAGGAACAACTACGCCCATAACATTCGTCACAGATGTTCTATTTCCTTATGCTCGTGAAAACGTTGGGAAGCATTTGAATCTGACATACGACACAGCAGAAACTCAAGAGGACATTAGGTTGTTGCGGTCTCAGGTACTAACGAATTATACTCTCCTTTAGAAACGTTCTTTCTCGTCTTATCATCTCTTCTCATGAACAAGTGACCAAATTTCATCTCTTGTATTTCTTGCAGGTTGAGGAAGACTTGAGACAAGGTGTAACCGGGGCTGTTCCTATTCCTCATGCTGATGAAGGAAAAGAAGAGGTCATTGCCGCTATGGTCTCTAATGTAGAGGCAATGATAAAAGCCGATAGAAAGATCACTGCTTTAAAGGAATTGCAAGTGAGAAAGAAAAAACAAGATTCTCTCTTTAAGTCTTTTTTTGTTGATTTTGATAATGTCTGATATGAATGTATGTTTCTTGTGCATGCAGGGTCACATATGGCGAACGGGTTTCGAGTGTAATGAACTGAAGTCTGTCGTTTTCGAGGATGTAGCAGACGCTTTAGAGAAATGGCATTCTTCGGGAATTAAGGTATGTTCATATAGCTTTTAGAGAAATGGCGTTTGGCTTTTTCGGCAGGTCTAATATTTTTGATGTGAATAGGTTTATATATACTCTAGTGGTAGTCGATTAGCGCAAAGGCTTCTCTTTGGGAACACAAACTATGGAGATCTGAGAAAGTATTTATCTGGCTTTTTCGACACTACAATCGGGTATATTAAAAAGATCAGTTGCTTCTCCTTTTTGAATAGAAGTATGATCCAACTACAAAAATCTCATACGTTTCTTGGCTGCAGAAACAAGAAAGAAAGCAGGAGTTATAAGGAGATTACAGAAACATTGGGAGTAGATGATCCTTCAGAGATTCTTTTTGTGACAGATGTTTATCAAGAAGCTACAGCTGCAAAAGCCGCAGGTAGGAACAAAACACACACAAAAAACTCTAAAATCTAAATCCTATTTTACTTGAAAAAATCGATTAGAGATTCTGTTTAAAGGAACTGACTTTTTTTTGTGGGTTTTTTCTAACTCCGGTGAAAGGTCTGGAGGCGATTATATCGATTCGACCTGGAAACGCTTCGTTACCAGAGAATAACGAGTTCAAGACTGTCACATCATTCTCCCAAATATAGAGGTTCCTTCTGTTGTGTCTGTATTCTCATGGAGTTGTTGTACGTTGATTTGAGCACAATTACCTTGTTTTGAGTACAATTGATAATAAATCTAAATGTAGAGCTTGACGAAGCTCCAATCATTTTTTTTTTTTTGGGTGTGAAATCAGCAAACTTTTGGTTCATGAATGTGATTTATGAGTTTTTTTGGGTAAAAGTGTGATTTATGACTTGTAAATAGATATGGGCAAAAACGTAACCATTGGGAACCAACTCTTCTTCATTTGGATACTGGTCGGAATTTTTCTTTGTTAACTCACATTTATAATTTAAATATAATATTATAACTTTTTTTAGAAGAAAAATGAAAAATCCGTTTAGAATTACACAAAGATAGATTTTGTATTTTTATTTACTTCATATATATAGACAAAAAACCGCATACAATTGTATTTTATACGAATGAATTAGGTGAAGAAAGAAAAGTCAAATCCTCTAACATGCATTAAATTACATTTTTCCAATCCTTTAGTTATTTTTGTTTTGAAATTTAGATTTCAGGCAATACAAAAAGTGACAAAACATAATCGAGTTGTTAATTATACAGAGATTTCAGTTGACATATCTTCCATTTCCGTATCATTACATCAATTTTCTTTCAAGTTTATGTTGTTTCAGCCTAAAAATTATTCGCTGATTTTTTGTGCATTATAGATTTCTTTTGTACCTTAAACCCTAATATATATAATTTTTTTACCTTGTTGCTTCCGCAAATAGAGCATGCAAATTCTTGGTAGCTTAAGCGACTAGGACTTCTTGATGTTCCGTTTCCATTTCTTTCTTAGCCACATACAGACATTTCTTCATCATCTGAAAACTTTGATCGAATATACTTTTAGGATTGAATACTTCTTATGTTTTGAGTTATTAGAGGGAAAACTGCAAATAAACTTGTTTTTGGGGGATTTAGAACTATTTTCCTTATTGAAAAAAACTGCTGGTATATATTTTTTTTGTGATTTACAACTTGGTCCTTTGAATTTTTTTTTGATTTATTGACATAAAGCACTATGCAGTTGAATCATTTCTGTTAAGTAATTGCATAGTAAAACTGATATAGCTGACATAAATTAAATCAACAAAGATAACTAAAGGAGATCATATGATAAACATCGAAGAACATATTGTAAATATGTTATAGAAAACCAAAATAATTGATTTTAATATTTTTTTTATCTGTATATTTTATTTGAATTTATTTTATGTATAGTATACATATTTACAACCATAATTATATTGATTACATTCAAATATATATTATGTACTATTTAGCTATTCAACCATATATTTTGGACTATTGAATCTGCGCTTGATATGCCTGATCGCATGATCATATTCTCCATTCAGAGTCATAGTTATTATCTATTATATTAAAATAGAAGCACATTTAGTACTTGCTTCCAAACACTCATAATTTTTTTTAAGTGTTTAAAAATAATTTTAATAATTATTTATATTTAATTTCGAAAATTAGTTATTAATTTAAATATTTTTAAAGTTCCTTAAATATAGATAATTTAGATTTTATTTGATTTGATTAAAAATAATAAATCAGATATTAATTTAGATTTGATTTAAAGATTCTAATTTAAATAATTTCTATACTAGTAAACATTTTTATCAAAAATATCTAGAATTTTTGAAAAAAAAATAATTCACATATGAATAATGGTCATATTTGAAATATAAAATATTTATAATGATGTAAATGAGATGATATTTATGTTGCTTATATAATATATTTACGATTATGATTTATTTACAAATTAATTATAAAATAATAGATAAAATTCAAATATATAATTTAAATATTAAAAATATATTTTTAAAATTTATAGAACTAAAAATATATATAAAAACCGGGTTAAAAATATTTTGGTAACTAAAATCACTAACTTTGAATTATACATGTATATCGAAAATATATTTTTCATACAAAATAAAAACATAAAAACTTAAAAATTATTGCATACACTATAATGTGGTTTGAAAAACCAGTTGTAAACTCCCTTAGTTGATTAAATTTTAGAAAACTATAATGCTAAATAATACTGTTAATACATCTCAAACTTTTAACAAATATTTATATTCTACGGTAATATAAACGAAAAAGTTAGAATTATGTTTTTATAATAGTTCATTTTGAATTAATATTAGCGGACGGGTTAAAATTATATTTTTATAATCATAATTAATTTTAATACTATAAAAATATATCTAAACACAAAAATCAATATTTTCACTTATTAAAAAATATATTTATAAAAATAATTATATCTAAACTTAAAAACACAAATTATATTACAAAATTCGTTAAACAATAAAAAATATTCCCGTGCGGATGCACGGGGTTAGAATCTAGTTGTTTAATTAATAAAGCACCATGCTGTGGATGAATGGTTGTGACTCATTGCTCTTTTTACATCCCTACTAATTATAATTGTTTTTTCATAGTTTCTTTTTAAATCTAATGAGACTTCAAATTTGAACAAATTTTGTTCACACTCGGGATTATCTTTATTCATTCTTTTATCACAAAATAAAATGGATCCAATACCTTTGAATATCGGCTTACACTCAAAATCAAATAGGTTTTATTTTTAGTTTAATATTTATTTAATCCACAGTCCAATGAATCATTTTGGACTCAAATTTTGTAGTAACATAGATATGTCTAATCTGGAATTAGACTAAATTTCTCACTATATATAGCCACTTAATTTCATCAACATTTGGTCACCACCTGAATTATATTGAACAGTAAAGTTAAGTTGTCTTGCTCAACATACCAAGATATGGTAACATTCTTATATCAATAAAGAAGAAAAAATACAAAACATTCACTAATAACATTAGATGCATTGGCCTGGTCTAACATTTTGTTTAGTTTGTCCTTTTAGAAGTTCTGTAAATCGTTCCGCCATAATATAATTCTTGACACAACTATATATCAAACCTTCAACTATATGGAGAAGTATGCAAATGATGATGAGCCTTTCTAACAAACAGGTTTATAGATACTATATGTATGATGATATATCTAGGATGAATATGCTTTTGTATATGATCTCTTGGCTCGAAGGCAGTTTGAATAAACTTGTTATTAGAAGATCCATGTAGTTGACAAGTATTAGTCCATGCTTCATTTAGATCATATAGTATTTTCTCTTCCATGTAGAACAAGTTACACCACTGTTCAATTTAAGCTCTTACCAAAGATAACCTTTGTGAGCATGTAAAAAAAATTATTCCATGAATGCTACGTTGGTGGTGCCATAAATATGTGTGTGATAGGAGGACGTCAGCCTCTTTCTGATTTTATAGTTTTATATATGTTTTTTTTTTCTTTGCTCTGAGATGATGTTTGATTTAATGTCTATGTTTTAAAATCTTGTAGAATCGCTCAATGTACTTGGAAAATGGTTAAGACATTTTTTGTCCCGTAAAAAAGGACCACCAAAAACTCTCTCAACATAAGAGAGCCCATATGGGACATTTTCTATCTTATCTGGGTTGAAAGCATATGAAGATGGTTATTTTATCGAGCTCATATGGATGATTTCTCCTGCTTCTACCAATTACTATTCAGAAAGGCCAAAATAGTATATTGCCAAACTATTAGCTCATCGTGAGAAGTACTTATTATGATGTTTTATGATCTTTATCTCTTGATTGTTTTTATATATTTTCTCTTGATTGTTTAACATGTTTTTAAAAAATACTTTCAGATGGTAAAAGAAGGTTGTCTATATTCTTCAAGAACGAATGATGGACCAATTCTTTAAAAGTCAATTTGCTTTATGGTGGACACTCATGCAGCTCAATCGGCCGTAGGTTTGTCGTAATCATGGACCTCACCCTCTCTGGCTTGGAAAATGTAACTCTAGTGCCCTATTTAAGCACTATTTAAGTAAAGATGTTTTGTGTAAACTAATTATATATATTTGTGACAGAGATATAACCTAATTACATACATATATCAGTATCTTAAATTACCGAGAGACAACGCCAAAACGATGGGTCATAGATGAAATTTGGAAAATTAAGAAAGTAGAATATGATCTTGAGGCAAATACATATCCACCGGATTTTACTGATTTTCTCTCAGGACTGTACGCATGATTCTAAGTCTCATTCAGTTGACACTCGGGATAGAACCCCGGGTGGAGTCCTCAGTTACTAACTCTCCTTTCCTTGTCTTTGTAAATATGAAGGTCTTTTCGTGGAATGTTAGAGGTTTTAACGGCAGCTCGCGGCAGAGGGTTATCAGGGGTTGGGTCAATGTAAATAGACCCCTGATTGGTGCCATTCTAGAAACAAGAGTTCATGAAGAGAATGCATCTGCAATTGTCTCTTCAACCTTTCCTGGTTGGCGTTGGGATAATAACTATGACAATGCAGCTCTTGGAAGGATCTGGGTCATTTAAGATCCTTCAATCTCTGTTATTACTTTCAAGAAATCAGCTCAGTTTATTTTATGTGGTGTGTTGGATCCTGCAACGGGTGAGACCTTGGTGGTTGCCTTCGTGTATGGGTTCAACACCGAAGCTCAAAGGCGTCTGCTTTGGGAAGATCTGTCGGTTATAAACAGGGATTCTCCTGCGAAGGACAAGCCTTGGTTGATACTAGGCGACTTCAACCAGATTGTCTTCTCCTCCGAGCATTTTTCCTTATATCCTTCTGCTCTTCCTCTCAGTGGTATGAATGACCTCAGGACTTGCATGGTTGATAATGATTTCTCGGATATCACTAGCAGGGGTGCTTTCTATACTTGGTCTAATTGCAGTGTAGAAGCTCCGGTGCTGAGAAAATTGGACAGGGCCTTGGTTAACGATTGTTGGAGCTCTGTCTTTCCAGATTCAGTGGCCGTCTTCGATCCTCCGGGTGATTCTGATCATTCGCCATGCCTGGTTAGTACAGGATCGGCCCCGGAGAAAAGCAAGAAGAGCTTCAAATATTTTTCCTTCTTCTCAACTCACTCGAAATACAAAAAGTTCATTTCTGAAGCATGGAATTCGCTGGCATGTATAGGCTCTCCTCTTTTCATGTTGGGAGAAAGGATGAAGTTAGCCAAAGTGTGCTGCAAAAAGCTCAACTCGGAAGGATTTGGTAATATTCAACAGAGAACCTCGGAGGCGCTCAATACCTTAGAGGAGATCCAAAAGGTCCT